CGGAGGCAGAGAGAGAGGAACAGAGGATAGGAAGCAGACTCTGAGCTGTCAGCACAGAGCCCAACACAGGGCTCAAACTCACAAACTGTGAGATCATGACCTGAGCTGAAGTCAGACACTTAACTGACTGAGCCACCCAGGTGCTCCGAGCATCTGGCTCTTGATTTCAGCTCAGGTCGTGATCTCACAGTTCGTGGGATGGAGCCCTGCGTCGGGCTCTGTGCTGACCATATGGAGCCTGCTTGGGATTCTCTCTCTCCCTCTCTCTCTGCCCCTCCCCCATGCACTCTCTCCTGCTCTCTCCCTCAAAACAAATATATAAGCTCTTAAAACACACAAAAAAATAAAAAGCAAGGGACTCAGAGCACCTGGGTGGCTCCGTCAGTTAGAAGTCAACTTGAGCTCAGGTCATGATCTCATGGCTCATGAGTTCGAGCCCCACACTGAGCTCGCTGCTGTCAGCTCAGAGCCTGCTTCAGATCGGTTGTCTCCCTCTTTCTGCCCCTACTCCACTGGCACTCTGTCTCTTTCTCTCAAAAATAAATAAAAACATTAAAAAAAAAAAAAAAAGGCCAGGGACCTTATCTCATGCCCCACTAAATCACAGGCCCTAGGGCAGCTCCTGAGCCCTGGCAGACCACGTGGTGAATGCAGGTACTAATAGTGGTGCGTGAAGGGAAGCGGTGTCAAAGTACCAAATACAGGCCACTCATTCCAGGATTTGGGAGTAAAGGCTCCAAGCAGTTAATGAAAGGGCCATGTTAACAACTACACACAGTTTTACAGTGGAAAATTGCTATTTTTGCATAACTGCAAAAAGTCAATTCCTTGGGAATGCAAGCTGGTGCAGCCACTCTGGAAAACAGTATGGAGGTTCCTCACAACACTAAAAATACAACTACCTTACGACCCAGCAATTGCACTACTAGGCATTTATCCACGGGATGCAGGTGTGCTGTTTTGAAGGGATACACACACCCCCATGTTTATAGCAGCACTATCAACAGTAGCCAAAGTATGGAAAGGGCTCAAATGTCCATCAACAGATGAATGGATAAAGAAGATGTGGTGTGTGTGTGTGTATACATACACACACACACAATGGAGTATTACTCAGCAATCAAAAAGAATGAAATCTTGCCATTTGCAACTACGTGGAACTGGAGGGTATTATGCTAAGTGAAATTAGTCAGAGATGGACAAAAATCACATGACTTCACTCATACGAGGACTTTAAGAGACAAAACAGACGAACATAAGGGAAGGGAAACAAAAATAATATAAAAACAGGGAGGGGGACAAAACAGAAGAGACTCATAAATATGGAGAACAAACTGAGGGTTATGGGAGGGGTTGTGGGGGGGGGGATGGGCTAAGTGGAGGAGGGGCACTAAGGAACGTACTCCTGAAATCAGTGTTGCACTATATGCTAGTATGGATGTAAATTTTTAAAAATTAAAAATTAAATTAAAAAAAAACCAATAATCCTTTTAACTGACCAGCTGAAAATAAAGAGAGCCAATTTCTCTTGAAATTTAGAGGCTATCTCTGTAGGACTATTCAGAGAAATCCACCTCTGTACCACAAAGAACTCAGAAAACAACAAAAGAACAGAGGTAACTCCTCTACCTGACAGTCTGTATTGCCATTACATCTGTCATATATCTACTTTATGGCTCTCCAACCCCACTGCAAATCCAGGAGAGCAGGCCGCCTCGGTCCCAGTCTGTCACACAGTAAATGCTAACTACATATTTGCTGAACAAATTAACAAAACATTTCAGGAGCAGCTTCCAATGCTCACATCTCAACGGCACTACATCAAAGTGTCAGCCTGATCGCCATGCACAGCGAGGAGGATGGTGAAGAGGTGGATGTCCAGAGCAGGTGTCTCTAGAGAAAAGAGGAAAATCAAACTGAAGACCTCCCTCTCCACCTTTGGCAGCAATTTCCAAATGATGCAACATTTTAGTCTTTTTTTTCCCCAAACTAGAAGATCCAAGTGTCTTACTGAAACTCCAAACGAGGGCCTAGAATGCAGACAGCTGGGACCCACAGGCTACCAGAAGATAAACTAAGCATATACGAGCAGCAAGAGCTAAAGGCACTGTCGGGGCCTGCGAGGTGGGAGCATGAACTGGGGGGGGGGGGGGGGGCCGGGGCACAGCAGGCACCTCCACTGGAGAGGGGAGGCCAGACACACGAAGAAACCGCTCCTGAGGTAAGGCAGTCTTACCAGATGAGCCCATCTCCTCCAGACGGGAGTGCGGAGGGCACTCCCAGCCAGGGGAGCAACAGGGGCCAGGGCAGAGGTGGGAAAGCACCCACTGCCTGCGAGCAGCCTCGTCAGGCCACAGGTCATGGTGCTCGAGGCTCGTGGTGACAAGGCCAGAGTCCAGGGGAGTAAGCCAGAGGACAGCTGCATTCTGAAGGCAGGAGCCTGCGGGGAGAATGAATGGGGCTGGGCAGTGCCAGGAAAGGGAAGACAACTCGGTGGTAGTGGCATGATCACAGCCCAGCAGATACGCTGTACTCTCTTCCCTAGCCCTCTGCCAGAATGAGGCTCATGCCTCTCCCTGGAAAGCAAAACACCCAGCCAGCACCTTCTCAGTCTTTTCAGACACTATTAAACTCGGGGATGCAAAGGAGAGTCTGGAGACTCTAGTGAGAAGTGAGAGCAACTTCACTACTCAAACCACCTGTCTCAGCATGAATGGGCAGTAAATCATGTCAATGTCCATGAATCCTGTCCATTCCTCAGAAAGTTAAAAACAGAACTACCCTACAATCCAGTAACTGAACTACCAGGTATTTACCCGG